GAAGTCTCTTGTTTAAACTTAGAAAAAAATCTAACTGTTTTAAATATTTTTATGATAATTATATATAAAAGAGAAATCATACCACTTGTAAACATATTGGAAAATATTGATAAGCAGCGAATAATCCAAAGCTGTAGAAAAGTATTGAAAGAAGAAAATCAACCATTTTGGTGATACTTTGATTATTTATTGTAACACTTTCATTGCTGCTTCCAAAAACTTTTAAAATCATAGCAATCACTAGTAGAGCCTGAAATATTAATATGTTATATGAATGAAAAATCAAAACATTGAATAAGAGTCGATAAGAATGAAATTAGTTAATATTAATGTGGATTTCAACATTTAGAAATCATTTTCTATATATTCATATAAATATTTTCTTTTATCTCAATGAATAATAAGTCTAAGTGAGAAAGTGCTTTTCCGAAGCACCAAAACATTTATCCTTGATAATTTGTCTTCCTAGATTTCCATGATTTGTAATACATTTTTTTATGCTTTTCACCAAGAAAAACTATATGTCAATGCTTCAATCTGTTCGATTAAATATCTTAATAAAAGTAATTTTGAAATATAATACAATTCAATATGTGAATTATTGGTTTTAATCTTACTTTAAAAATCTATTCTTTGTTCTTGATATAATTGACATCACCAAATTTATAGAGATTGCATAGAAATACAAAACAAATAATATTTTTTTTTTATCTTTATGATCAAATGATAACTATAAGAAAAATAAAAACTTACAACAAGCACGTCAAGAATAATCATAAGAAATTTGCGAGTTCGTTGAATTATCGGATCTCCAATCATCGACAAATCTTTAGCAACATCCCTATTAGTAGCAGTGGTTATAATTACATTGTTAGTATTTTGTTTGGATTGCATTTCAATTGTACGAACTTGTCTCTATTATATAGAATTATAAGATAAATTGAGTATCAATACAGTCAGAGATTCTAAATTAACTCGTTAATAATACTTTGTATTTGTCTGTCTTTTTAAATCATTGTCAACAATCAAATATGTCTAATATTTAGCTTTTTTAAGATAGATTTTTTTTGTCTCCTTAAATGTTAGTCTCATTATGACAATTTATAGGAAAATAGTGTTTCACAATTTCTATGTAAGAATGATAATACTTGTAAAGTTGAATCTTTTTTTGGGGAGTAAATGGTTTTCATTTGAAAAACATTTGGAAGTATTTAACCTAAAATTAGTTGTTTGCATAAGTAAGAAAAAAAATCACAAACATTGTAACACATAATTATCCATAGAAAAGTACTGATGAATTTACTCATCAATAAATGAAAATCTCAAACAATCACAAGTGGAATTTGGCACCTATACTAAATAATTCAATCGAAATAATATCTGGGAAATGAAAAACTATCTATGGATGAAACCGATTCATAATTTGAGTTATTCAGCTGATATTGCTTAAGACAATATTGAGCCTCAATATATAAAACCTCTGTTCCTGTATAAGTTATTGTTTACTAAAAGAAAGAACTATTAGTTTAGTCAGTACATCATTATGTAGGACTTCACTCATAAGTTAGGTTTATCTATATAAAACGAGTATTTCATTTTTTATAATAATAAAAATGTCTTGTAGTTTTCATAAAAATTAAAAAAAAACTTTCGAGAGAAATCTGAATGAACCTGAACTGCATACGAATATATCAAAAAAATTTATTAAAATACAAACCTGACGAACGCTCAAACATGCGTATAAATGATAAAGATAAGTGTTATTTGAACGAAGAATACAACGGTATGNGTGTGCGATTGTGTTCGACAAGAAAATGAGCGTTTGTATTTCACTTCACTGATGCATCGTATTATATATTGCAGGCACGAGAAAAAGAATCAGTAGATAAGTATACATGTTGTAGGTTTCTTCAGAATGAGGAGATGTATGTTATACAAAGGCTTCTTGTGTGTCGGTATGAGGCACTCAGATTTCATCAAATTAATTTTCTAATGAAAAAAATTGAATTAAGATATTTTAATTTTTTACATCTAATGCAAAGCCATGAATTTCATATAAATAAAATTGTTGCACAAACGAGAGAGTGAATTGAAAATGTCAAATACCCCTCCCCTTTCCTTGACAAATCACCGCACTTTTTATCCTCTGTGACTTGCTGTAGGAGACCTATAGGTGATAATTGAAATCATATGGTAGTATATTTGAATAGTAAGGAGCCAAATTAGTCTATGGTTTTTTCGATTTAAAACTGAAATCGAGAATAGATATTCAAAAATAGTTTTCCATAGTAGAATAGAATCAATGAAACTTTCTTTTAATTGAGATATACAGGTGTTTTATTTCTCAATGCAAACATTGTGATTAAACTCAACGATGTCAAACGAGCTTGAACATTAGCGTACTGTGATGATATTCTTTGAAAATCAATCAGAAATCTATCGCGCAGATAATTCATTGCCGGTCATTTCGATTTTGGTTTATTTGTTGTATAAAGCAAAAAGACAAAATATTTAAATCGAAAGAAGCGCTTCCTTTTTGGCTTCTTATTCAATGCAACACACAACTCAATCTTCGGAATAATAAATAAGCATTTATGTCAATAATAAAATATAGAATTGTATTGAAATGGAATTGCGTTTGAAATACTAAGGTCTAGATAAGAAATTGAACAAACGAAAAAACTAGCTTTACCAGTCTTGGACTCTTTACTAGACTAACATCTCAGCCAGTAGGATATAGGGAAAGCCAGAATTTTCACATCTGAAATGTAAATAAAGCTAAACTCTAAACAGAATATGCGACAACATTTTCCGGTCTACATTTTCTTTTATTTTTAGTTCAAATTTCGAAACACGCACTAATGCCAAATGAGCACCATCAATTGTTAAAAATCAGATTGCGTGAATCTTTTTAGTATTACTCTATATCAAAATTCTATATCAACGAACTGAATTTTAAGTTTTACAATTTTTGGTTTATTTGATTTGGTAGATTTTTTTCTGCAAATTCAATTCATTTTTAATTCAACTCACTTTCAATTCAATTCTACGTTTTATTGTTGTGATCGAAAACTATTCCTTATACCGAATATTGAATCGTGTAGTGTAATGAATAAGAAGT